GTGAATGATCGATAAAAAAAAAATAAATATGTAGAATGTATCAAGAAAGAGGAAGAGGGTGGCAGACATAGCGCATTTACGGAGCATTTAAAATTGTAGGTCTGCCCAAGGAAAGATGAATGGTGTCTTTAAATGTATTTTTTACGTTATAGCAATTCGCGAAATTTGTTTAACAAATTCTAGAGAATTAAGAGTATAAGACGAAAATTTATATTCCATTAAATGGATAGTTATTAATTTTATTGATTTAAATGATTCGAACGAAGTTCGAGTCGTTAAAATTTGTTTTTTTTCTGTTATGATTAGTATACGTTTTGATTTCTTGAACTTCCGTACTTTCTTATGTTCTCGACTTCGACTTTTTTTTTACTTTATAATACCAAGATGCGTGTAAAAGCCATTCACATGTTCTTACAAAAATCATCCAGCATAGTAAACTTTTGTAATAGTTTTGTCAGAGATATGTAATAGCTAATAGAATTGCGCAAAGAAATGAAAGAAGTAATAAAGGTAGCTTTCCTACATAGTTTTAACATACATATATATTTTTTCCAGACAAATAACAATGCGTTTCTTCGTGCTCATTCACGAAACTGGACCTAAATGAAAATCAGCATTTAGATGGAGGGAAAGATTGTTAAACGATGAAATATTGTAAAAATGAGCTTCAATGTGCCTTTTTTTAGTAATCGCGACTAAAATACCTTTTCTTCTTCTGTATTCCTGTTTCTATTCGCGCGCAACGCGGATTATCTTGTCAAAGTGAACATCTTGCCCACACACGCATTAAAATACATATATATAGACTACTCGAAACAATCAGTATTCGTATTTTCTCGATACGAGGCATGTTGTACATGTGTGTGCGTGTAAGATTAAAATTTTTATTCATTTCATTTGTGCAATACAACAAGTTTATTCAAATTACATGTACGAGTCTAAAAAGTTTCACTTGTTCGTACGTTTACACGTCGCTAAAGTCTCTCGCGTTTCGCATTAATAACATGATCGAGAGAAAAGAAAGGGGGGGAAAAATGGGTAACGCGCGCTTGTTCGTAAGCGGTCTCTGACGGTGATGTCCGGAAACAGGTAGATGCAAATGGCGCATGCGCACAGGTCATCGTATATCGTCCCGCCTGCGGACGAACCGAAATAAATCGAACGACGCTGAGCCGATCAGCAGTACGGTGCTCGCTGGATGCGACTGTTTCGCGTTAGTGATGATCAAAACGAGTTGTCGTCGTCGTTATTTGTGGCATTTCGCGAAGACGAAGAAGCCGTGATCGGTGATCAAAAGTTCGAGACGGAGAAGAGACCGAGGACACACATCGTCGCTCGTTGCCGCGGCCACGGATGCATATGGAGGTGCGTAAACCCTTGTTTCGATGCACCCTCTTTCTCTGTGCACGCGTTTTTCCTTTGCCTCGACAACATTGCCTGTATCCCCCTCAGAGTCACTGCCATTTTCCTGCGACTCGTTGTGTTTCGCAAACGATTTTTCGTACACGGACGAACGTATTCCTGGACAATTGAAAGTGCGATAGTCGCATTTGTTCGTATCGCTGAAATTGTTATTCGACGATATTTGCATCAAATGCGGGGGATGATTGTTCGCGGGAACGTTTCAGTCTCTCGTGTTGCCCCGAATTTCCACGATTAATCGTACGTTTTGTTTCACGATTCGAGGGAACGTCCATGCTGTTTTCATTCGGTCGGTCTGCATCTGAAACGACGCAATACTATCCTCTCTTCTTTAACCGTGTTTGTTTAGCGTACGATCGTTCGTGTAATTGGAAGAGCGTCGTCTTGAATCGTGCGGACGACGTTTACGAATTTTTCACGACAATGAACTCTCCCTTAGAAACAGGCCGACGTTGAAAAGTACGTGCGCATACGGCATTGGACTTTGTGTACGCTCTCAGCTGACGGGGGCCTGTCAGCTGCCTTCCACGAGAAGATCAGGGCCGTCGCTTTGCGTGGCGGTGGCGTGTTCTGTACAATTTTTCCCGTTAGCTCGTTTCCGTGAAATTCACGATTCTCGCTCGTCCCATTTTCTTACCCTTGCCCAGGGGCAACAGCACACTCCGGTTAGGATTTTTTTTCGCTTGGTAACAGTGCATATAATCTGCCATATCGAGTAGCTCTGTCGTCACGTCCGCACGTGCAGGTAGAGTAAGAATCTATTCCATTGTTTGATTGATCGTCTTACATGCACTAATCCTAACCTTCTCGAACATACCGTTGCATTTCCCCCAGTATTTCGTATACCTGCGTTCACTTTGGTCTCTTTCACGAGTATATTTCCTTTGTACCTTTTTTTTTATATCTCTTTTCTCCTAAATTTTTTTGAATTTGTTTTCAACTTACTGAAACGTCAACGGCATCATAATAGTCCGCGTCTGTCGTGATAATTTTACTGATACCTACGCCGGCAATGTCACCAAGATAATACGCACTGTCTTGTTTTGTACACATTCACAGCTGATTCACCCGCGCCGCGTCGTTAAAACGTTCGTTCGGGTTATTATCTTTCGATACAATCTGACGGCGTATCTTCTGATGACGTTTCTTCCCTTCTCGCTGTCGGTGTACGTGTACAGAATGGCTTCGATCGCTCTGAAAAAAGCCTACATAATATCCAGCATAGAACCGATGGTAAAGGCTAAGTTGATGTAGAGGGAATTGACGTAACACGTTTACTTCTTGCTTCTGTTTCCACACCCGAGACCACCAAACTTCTATCGATTTTCTTTCTTTTTTTTTTATTGCAAATATTTCACCAAGTCGTCACATCAACACGTACACATCGTTGCGAGGAGATTAAAAAACATTGTTTGAAATATTTTCAAAAATTAACCCCTAAAAGCTGTACTATTTCGTACGATCGAAATCACGTTATTTTATTTTTCACTAACTAACGAAAAGAGCGTCGTAAAGTAAAAGTTTCAATTCCTCTTTCAATGATATTTTGCCAAACATCTTCAAAATTCAAACAAACTTTTTTTTTTTATCACTTCTACTCTAAAAACGTTTTCTTGGAAAATCGGAATTTCCCAGCCGTGTGGGACTTCGTAGAATCGAACGACACAAAGGAAATTGATTCTTGCTATGTCTGTCAACAAAATATCTCCGAAAAAGGAGTGGTGTGTACATGCCACTGTTTTCCTCGTACTCACATCGACCGTAATTTGACTACATGTTTCTCGAGTCGATCGAGCGCCTTTCGAATTTAATAGACCGAGAACCATTTGGTGTGTGCACGTCTGCACACAAAGTGCATATTAAGGTGCACAATTCGCTTTGAAAGCGACATCCGTGTGATGCGTTCGTCCACAGGACGCTTTACGTGGAAAATTAAATATGCGCGACGAGTTACGAAGGACGATGACCCGAATTAACTAAACTCGAAGCTGCTGCTGCTGTGTGTGCCGCGCTTGTTCCTCTCCCAGTGTTTATTTAAGTTGCAGTGGTGTAGCCTCTCTTGATTCCTATCTAGCCAGGCAACAGCGACCGAACTGAGTCTCTGCTATATGCACGTAGTCACTTGGTTCGTGCAACGAAAGTTCTTCGCTTGTTCCTTCGTAACCATGCTGTTACTCACATCAGTACACGTACTTACGTATGTTTACTTGTCGCGTATAATAGTGCTCTACAAAACCCTTCGATCACTTAGACAATACATATTTTATTTCTTTAAAAAATACTTGTACTTTAATCTTCTTCTCTCTTCAAAAATTTTCCAGAGAACGTACATCAATTTTAATAGTCAATTGTAGTGAATTTTACTTTTTGTACGAAGAAATTCTTTCTTGTGGCATTAACATTCGAACTGTTCGAATGTTCAAGATTCGTAAATTCGTAAACTAGAATATATATATATATAAACTTTCGAATAAAAATGCTACCTATAATCTTTGACGGTCTTAAATTTTCTAGAAAGAGAAATTCCAGCAATAATTGTGACTGTAATCAATTTATAGAGTTTTTGTTTAACCTTGTTGTAGCCTCAGGTATTTTGCGAAAAAGTGCATAGGATTTTCTATTTTTATGAACGCATCCGCCGTGGACCTGTTGGACGACGCTTTTGTGTACGTTTACAGCTGATTGGGTTGTCAGCTGTGCTGCGCGCGATAGAACCATCTAGCAGGCTGGCCAACGCATGTTCCAGAACGCTCCGAGGGGGTCGTGTTTTTCTGTTGTTTTTTTTCTTTCCTCTGTCACTTTCCAGCAGAGGCTTTGCTCGCTGGTGACTATGCCAGACAGGGCAATGCCTCGTGTACAATCTTTAAACATATTCCTACTTAGTTTGCCTAAGGTTACGATAAGGGAAAAGGTTATATTCCACGGGTTTGCGTTATACGTGCACGCAAGTGTAAGCTCTTACGCATGCTAGGTGTTTCATCTTTTTTCTTTCTTCTTTTTTATCAAACTTTTTCAATACCTTTTTTGAGAATATAAAAAAAAGAAAGTAAAATGTTGTGAAAACATAATTTGTAGCTGTATTGAAGATAGAAAGCACCGAGGGAATAATATTTTAGTCTGCAGAGTTGCAGTCAATTGCAAAAGCTAAATAAAAGTTTATACATGCAATTAATAATTATTTAATAAAATGAAATACGGTTATAGTTTCAAAAGGCCGATGGCGGTTTCGATAGCAACGATTCATACTTGTATACGGTGGACCAAAAATCATTTCCTACTAAAATAAATCCGTACTGAATAATTTTATTAGAAAATAAATAACTTTTGAAAACATAGTGGAAAAATTATATTTGGACTTAAATTTAATTTAAAATTAGTTTTTTTATTATATTTTGATGTTTTACTTTAAAAAAAAAAAAAATGGATGGGAAGAAACTTTTGGCCCACCCTATGTAACACCTTTTTCTTATTTATATCCATCCAATAAAAGTTTAACTAAAAATAATTGTGGCATATAGAGATTTATAAATAATCTTGATGGAGATTTATAAATAACTTTTCAATTCTGTTTTTCCTTTTGTTTATGTATGTACAATATACCAGATGTATTTGTGCGATGATTATTTATCAATGATTTTTTTTTTTTTTTTTTTTTTTGACAAATATGTATGTCAAAATTATTATATTTCTATAAAACGTGCTTAGCACAATAATCACAGTTAATTGTAATGGTTCTCAGAAGTGTTGCAATATCGTACGACCTTTTAATTCTGCAAACGTATATTTCTAGTTAGTCATAATAGCTGGTGAAACGTGACAAACTACTAAGGTTCCCATTCATGATTCGTATACATATATAGTTGCGCGACGTAAGTAAACTTCCGTTAGAAATATGTTTTATTACCGAGCCATAAAACTAACGCTATTGCGTTATTTTCTTCGCGCACACTTGATTAAACTCGGCTTACACGGTGGTGGGGCTCGCGATCAAAAACCTCGCTATCGTTTATCACTTTCTGCTGCTTGTTCGTAGTACGTGCGTGACCTACGCAACACGACTTTGTTCTTTCTCATTTTTTTTTCCTTTTTTTCTTTTTTCTTTTTTTTGCTGTAACAGTTACATAACAAACGTTTGCGAGATTACGCAATCGGGAAAAAGTTTGTAATTACAAATCGAAGGTTCAAAGTGCAACGATTGTAATCTGTACGTTTGAAAAAAGAAAAAGTATTTTTTCTTCTTCTCAAATCGGTCAAACGAACGGATTAGGTCACATCACCGACGTTTTTTTTTTTTTCTGCTGATTCCACGCAACAACCATCCTATGCGATGCTTCGCTATAGATTGGATTATATTCTTTATCTGGAACATATGTACGTATATCTCGTCGGACTATATTCGAAGTCTTCGGCATGCGCCATTGATTTGTTTACCCGATGTTCACTGTTTAGAATAATTGGGACACGGATAAATATGAAATCCATTCCGTTGTTCCACGCGTTAATTGAAACATTTCGTGTCGAGCATCCGTTATGAGTTCCGCCTATAGTTTCTGATATTGAAAACAATGGGTTACGCTTGATTATGGGTACGTACCTGGAAGTCTGGAAGGTACTATCTCTGCGCTAATTGCACGGAATTTCGATAAAAAGATACACGTTCTTTTCCGCTTGTTTTCTCACCTTTTGCCTGATGAGATGTGTCTGATGTATTCGAAGTAAGAATAAGAATAAGGAAGATACATACAGTGTGTGCATTGCGATCGTGCGAATGTTTTTGATTTCTCTCGCAGTTGACGAACCAATAATCGAAGCCGTACATACCATGTGTAAATATATGCATATACGCCCTTATGCGCTCGCTCGAATCTGAAATATACTATACACGTGTATAAACGCACGAAAGAAAGAAAAAGAAATGCTATACCTAGAATATATTCACGCATCTGTAAACAAACAAAGAAAGAAAGAAAAGGAAATACTGTAGACAAAACAAAGATGAAAAGAAGCACTGACCAACGACGAGCTGCTCATCGATTCGATAATACGTACCTTTTCTTTCATAATCTAATGTAAGTGCTGAAACTTAAGACTGAGATTTCCTGTTATCACAGTTATTTCAGTTCGTCGGATGTCGTCGGTGCGAGCAGGTCGCTAATTACGCGGTATAATGTAAATCTATACGGCGAAAACGCGCCAGCTGAGTTATTGTATCGTCGTTCAGCGATTTGCTCGGAAGTGTGAATCATTCGTTCTCGTGCAACGCCGCCTGTACGCTACGCAATTCCCGTGCGTTTTCCTTTTGTATTATTTACGGTGAATCAGTGGCTGAACTTAGTTAACTTTAAATATTCACGTTTAGGTTAGGTTAGGTTTAGATAAACGCCTTGCTAACTGACCTGCCATTTGCTGTCTTGCACGCTCGTTGCACATTAACTGGCCACGTGATTTGATCCCAATTCGACAGTCAATTGAATTTTCGTAGACTTCAACGTAGCAATATCAAACGCCGAAAATTGCCTTTCTAGTTTTCTAGATTCTTTCTTCACGTAGTTGTGCACCGGACCGTTATAATAATCCTCATTTAAGCGTCCACAGTCGGGACCGAGAGTGGACGCTTAAGTGGAGATGTGTTTTCTACGAATTAGCACCGAAATATTAGTATCGAGTATCACTCGCTTTGTGTCGTGCAAGTGTCTTGTTTCGCACGGCCTTCGACAGGTCGGTAAGGTAGTGCAGATAGTCCCAATTTCAAGGAATGGTGGGGATTACTGTATCGACGGACGTTTAAATCGGTGAAAGTGCGAACGTTTAAATAAGGATTACTGTATTATACGTAATTACTCGTAGCTCGTGCAAATCTCATAGTTCGCCACTGTTTGGCGCTTTTCGAATTATTTACGAAACAACCGTGCACCTTGCTCTAAGAAAGTATTCTTATCTGCGTGCTAAGCGAGAATGCGCCGTTGCTCGTTGTTCGTCGCCCAGTCCCGCCGCTACGTCGTGTAATGTAAAACTTGTTGCGAAGAAAACGCGCGCGATGTCTTTGAAGTCATTGTTCTCTTTCTCCTTCTTACTCGCGGAAGGAATATGCAACGTACGTGCATACGTATGTACCAGTCACTGCGCGTATGTGTGTGCCCGCTTCTTCACTTCTCCCACTGCTTGAAATTTCTTGGTTGTTGCGTGCACCATCTTCAAATATATATGTATTATTTTGGTTTCTAGTTCCGAATTTACGTGTATCGTAACATGCTAGTGATTTCTCGAACGAAAAATCGCTTTTCGTAGAAATAACTAATTGAATGATACTTGGATCGCATTGCCTTTTCTACCTTTCTGCTGTGTTGATTATTTTCATCGAAACAGAATGTGCATAAATACGCAATATTTATTTTATGCGTTGCTCGATATTTTTCGCAGTTTTTTAAATAGCCGTAAAACGTGTTGTCAAGCTCGCGAAAATACAATAAAAGTCGTTTAGAAAGAGATTTATTAAGAAATCCATAGAAAAATTTTCTTTCTTATGGACATGTTTGTTGCTCGCGATTCGCGATCCACTGTCGGATCCTTATCCGTCGAGCAGTCTGCGTGACTTATTGAAGCCATATCTCCTCGTGCATTCAATGGAAGACCAGGCAGAAAAAAATATCGACTGAAGGGGGAACGTAAGTCGACGATATTTTTTTTTTTTTTTTTTTTACGAACCACATACGTGTATGTGTATATATATATATATTTATATAATCGCGTCCGAATAAAATTGAAAAGTATTAATAAAACTTTATTCTTCCTACTTTATATTTACATACATTCGTAAGTAGTTTCTTGATAATTTGTGTCAGAAATTCTCTCGGGCCTCATTGTTTACATCGCATTATCGCCAGAAGAGATACACATACGCGTTTCGATTGTCGCGTAAAACGTGTTTACGAGATAAAAGAAGAAACGACGCAATGCCGTTCGTTTCTTTATCGCTAATATGTTTGTGTTTATCGATGTTTGATATTCCAAGTGTGTACATTTGTTATTTATGCTTGGCGGGAGATCAACATCTTCCCTAACCTATGGACCCCGCAAACATGGTTTTTTTTTGTTTTTTTTTTTTTTGTGGAAAAAATGTATACAAACGTCTCGCTCCTTTGTTCACTTTGTTTTATTTCAATCTTTATTTTTTTGATATCCATTGCTGTACGATTGTACGATATACGTGTGTATTGTTATTGAAGCTATTCTGTTTATTATTATACGAACGTTGATCTTTCCTTCTGTATTCACAGAACGTAATGTCCATCTTCAATTTTTATAGAGAAGCACAAACTGTGAAATACAAATGCAGTGAGGATGTACATGCATACTTGCATATGTGCATACATAATACGCATAATGAATCGACTTGGGATGTAAATATTCGGTATTTTTCTTATGCTTCTTTTTTCTTTTTTTTTTTTTTTTTTTTCTTTTTTTTTTCTTTTTTTTTTTTCTTTTTTTTCGTTTTGCGAGTCTTTATTCCGCTCGATGCTTATTCGTCGACAAATCTTCCGACAAATCTGTCAACAAATACGATACAAACGTTTACACACGATTTTTCCAAAGTCGCTTGAAAACCTTTCCAAAGTTATCACAACACGAACGTTCGCGTAATTTTTTTTCTTTTCGTACGACTAGTAAATTCGTCGATATTGGCTGACTTTTCTTCAACGCAAACACGCCGCGGTGTCTATGGCATCTGTTTTCGTCGTTTGCTGGAAAAACTTTACACTCATCGGGAGTGAGAGAGAGAGAGAGAGAGAGAGAGAGAGAGAGAGAGAGAGAGATTGGTTTACAAAGGTCGCAAGATATCACCACGCTCTATGTTTTAATGTAAACACACTGTGCAAAAACATAAACATCATCGTACGTGTGCAAAGCTGCTTGGCAAACCGTCGCGATCCTCCGCTGTCTGTTCAGCCTTTTATGTATGTATTTCTTCCCTCCCCCCTGCGGATCTATTCGTCCCCGTCGTCGTAGTGGAAGACGTCGGTCTACGTCCCTGTGTGGTATGCAACGCAAGTTAAGGCCGTATCACCGTGTACCGCCTTGCATGTGAATATACAATAGAAAACATTTTGTCAATACACGCGATGACGCGCGGCGGAGTGTCGTGACTGTATTGCATGACCTGTGCCCGATGCGTGTTCTGTCGATCGTGGGTCAAACACGTGATTGCTTCCTCGCGAGCGCTGCTCTTAAACTATCACGTATGTTCAACCCTTTTTCCCTTCCGTAAGGCTGGCTCGTTGAAAAGAGTTATCGCCGATTGCCGCACGTGCCATATCGAACTCGAACGCGTTCGGCGCGCTTCCCTCCGGTCTTTTTGCATCATCGTGATCAACAATGTGTCGCTGATCGCTATCCTATTCCCAGTTTCATGTGTACGTACGTACGTACGTACTGTGTTACACGTCAATAAAGCTGTACACGCGGAATCGGATCGTTATTGCCAATGAAGAGACAAAATGGAGTTATTAAATCGTACGTACAACACACGACTGCTCATGGTACATAATTGACTGCTATAACACCGACGGTCATCACGTTGAGCGTGGAAACTTAAGCGGCCGGTAGTTATTCTGAACGTAGAAAGTATAAAAATAATACGTACATACGCGCGTGTATGTATATGTGTATATATATATATATAGGAATCCCGGCTTGAGACCCCAATTTGTAGGAATTTTGGTAAAAGATGATTATTTATTTAAAGTAAAATAAAGAAAATTCGTTTAATAATGATCGTGAATTGACGTTTTACTTACTTTGTCTTCTCGCTTTCACCGCTCGTTACTCATTACCTTTTCCTCATCTGCACAAAAATTCGTCATTCATACACACATACACACAAACGCATCCATACCCTTAATCCTCCCATGACGAGTCGTACTGGCCGGTGGCCGGGTCTCGCGAGACCCAAGCTAGTGGAACGATGAACGCCTATATATGTAGTCGTTAGTAGCTGGTTCAATTTGATTTCTTTTTTGTATTTTTATTATGATTGTTGTAACAATAAGACAGTAGGAAATAGAAACACCTTTTGCTACTTTTATTATCTATAAATAATATTATTTATTCTCGTTGTATCTAATACGTTAGATTGCATTTATGTTTGCTACAAACAAAATTGTGACAATTGCTACGTTTAGCGCTATATTTGTTGTCGATTGCCTATACAAATAAAACATCTCGATCGTGTGTTTGAGTTTGGAAGTTTTAAGTTTTAAAAAAATGGAAAACGCTGAAAGACTAAGAAGCACAAAAAAATGAAAAATACTAGAAAAACTAAAGAATACAAAAAATGAAAAATATTAGAAAAACTACTAAAGAATACTACTAATAAAAAATACTGAAAACAATGCATTGAAATACACTGCCGACCATTCGCTACGACTGCTTCCTCAGAACTGACTCGTACATGCGTTCGTCGCCGATTTGACTTCTTACTGGAAACGTAATATGATCCCATTTTTTTATCGCCAAATTGTAGCCGTGCAGGCTAACTTTGTATGACTCACACACAAAGTAGGACTTCAAGCGGGTCACCGCAGACTCAGCCACCGTTATGCGAGGTTTAATATCTTGAATGCTAGACCATAAACATTCCCAAGTCCCAGGTCTAACTTTCTCTACAGTTTATGGTACACCACTTGGGACATCTGCAATTGTTGGGCACTGGAGAAAGTTCTGGGCCCTTTCCCAGAATTTGCCCATTACACACACACACACACATATATATATGTTCGTTCATAAAACAGAGCTTTCTTTCGCACGTGAATTGTCGGTCGCGTGTAGATCTTCGATTATGTCATGGAAATGCTTTGTCAATAGCACGGCGGTGGCCTTTGTCGAGAAAAACGTTCGTGTTTTTCGTGGTTGCACACGTCAAATCTTAACGTAAGATCTGCACAATTAAAAGTTTACTTCGCCGTGACACGTATATGTATGCATAACGTGGTGTGTTGTACTTGCATAGTTGAAGAGATCGATACGGAAAGCAGCACTGTTGTGTTTCAAGTTAATCAGCCGGGCTCGGACAACAATAACAAAATGAGAAATTGCATTCAATTGGTACGAGACTCTACGTACGTTCGACCTCTGGCGGAAATTAGAGCGTATTTAGCAACACTTTAAGCTGCTTATATCAACTTTATTATACTAACCTTACCTGTTATATCGAGTTAGCGAAAGGTTAAGGGGAAGCCTATTATGTTAACTCTTTATTTTATGGTGCACAGGCTGCTGAAAGTGGCATCGAAATTTCCAAATAAATAAGACACTGTAACATTGTAAGTATTTGGTTGAACGAAGAATTTAGCGGGGACGGCTAGAACGAAGATTGGATTAAGATTGATTTCTGGTTAGACGGCCACCGCACGTACACAAACACCGCAACTGTTTGCCGCAGTTCCTTGAAACAGGTGCTTACGCGAACTTGCACAGCTTGAATTCTCTGCTCGATGGTGATTTCGCTATATACAGGGTGTTTCGTAACTTCGGGAGCTGGTTGCACGCCTAAAAATAATGAAAAAAAGTCATATAAATGTATGTCCTATCTGTCTTCGTTTATGAGATGTAATGAATTTTCTGTTTTAATTACTTTTACAAAAGATGCCCGAAATGACCACGTTGCATTTGAAGACAAGCCTGCACGCGTCTTGTCATTCATCTGGTTACTCTCTCTATCGTTCCTGGTGTTTCTCGAATTTGTCGGAAGCCTTGCTCTATTCTATTTCGTAGTATTTC